GTTATAATTTTTCACGTCATTGTTAGCGTTATTTATCACCTAAATATATATTTTTTTTGCATTTTTCATCTTGCTTTATATATCCCCAAACCCAGTTTGACTTATTTGCATAATTTGATCCCAACATTTTCACGCTAGCATATACAGTTTCCTCCTGTTACATCCGCTGTACATTCTCTTCTAACCCCAAGTTATTTTCATTATGCTCCCCAACTACAACAACCACTGGCAAGAAGCCAGAAATAGAAACACTAATCGTCAACCAAACCAATATCACGTACCCTACAACGGCCCTGTCTTCCATCGACCTCTACCACCTACCAATCGCCGACCACCAACCAACCCATCCAGCTATATCCCACCCCATCGCCGACCTACCTACAACACAGCCTACCAATCAAGAGGTAACCATCGACCTGACCAACAACAGAAACGACTACCAGCCCACCGACGCCAACCAGTCCCCACTCATAAGGAGGAAGAACCCTTTGTGAAGGTGTTCTTCCAAGTTTTGCAGTGCCTCCATCATTTGGCAATCCTTACCCTTCAACAGCAAGGCCAACCAGCATTTACCTTCAAACGCAAAGTCTCTGAGTTGGATGGTTTTATCCGTCCAGCAATGAAAACATCAGCTGTCGACGCGAATATTAGATCCTTCAATCGGACATGGCTCTGTAAGGTTATGCAGGTCCTGATCGACCGTTACCAAACCACACTTCAAGAGAAGCTGACCACCATTCGTACCAAGTCTTTATCATCACCTGCCGTCGACCGGATCGTTGTAGATATGTTTATCATGTAATAAAAGTATTGTTATTTTAGTGTCTTGATGTTCGCGTTGGTTTGTCATGTGAGTATGTATAAGTATGCTTGTGTATGAGAGTCCGTGCAAAGCGTGATAGTTTATTATATAAGGTTGTATATGGCAATATTGGTTACTCGACAATAAGTGCCGTTTGAATGAAAAGATCCTTGGCTAATGATTAAGTGGATATCATTTTCATTCTTGCATGTCAAAATGAAAGCTACATTCATTGGTTCGTCTTTCACCACCCATCTTCATCGTCATTTGAAGTGTAGCAGACGGCATTTTTGACCTGTTTACAAACACAGCTTGTATTATTATGTAGATTAGATGTGTTTACTAGGTTTTACTTCATTCACCAGAGCACTGATTACAATTACTACTAATTGATGTCACTTTACTAACAATGTCTCAGTGTACTTTCTGGCTTCTGGTTGGTCAATTTGAAGGTCCTTGGGGTCAATTTCTGTATCTCTTGGAAACATCCAAACTCTTCCTTGCTTATTCATAATCTAGTTTTCTAGATATCAACAACACTTTAGATTGATCTCTATATCAATCTGTTTCCTTGTTGCTGATTTTTGGAATACCTTTATATTTTTAGTACTTTGCTATTTTCAGCAATTTACAGGTATGTGTGTTTTGGGAGGGTATAATTTGCCTTAGTAGCCATTTATATTGACTCATGTCAGAGTCCGGCTTATTAAATCTATTCATCATTTTAGTTCTTATGTAGTAAGAAAAGGTTTTAATAATGTAATCATCATTTTCAGAATAATATAATTAGATGTTACAATAGAAGTAACTAATTATAATTAGTATCCTTTAAACCCCTCTTAGGGTAGGTTATTATTTTGGTTATTTAG